CGTTATTCGTCTAATCCAGGCTTTTGTCATAAGCCACATAACGTATGTAGCAGCATACCACAACTGGCAAAAAGCTGAAACTAACGAAATAAATGCACTCATCCGGAAGGTCTACAAACAAACGATAGGAATATCTGAGCATGTTAGCAGAGACCTTTTTTTTTTTCAGCTTAGACTACACAATACGCTTGAAGAGATTATAGAAGCTCAGCGCAGATCCCAGATTGAAAGGCTCACTAAAACTAAAACGGGAAGAAATATAATGAGCAGATTAGGAGTCATGTACCATGCACAACACGGTGTCAAACATGACATCCCCAATACAACCAGAGCTAAGATCGCCTCTAACCCGATACGGAAAAACATGAACCCCATTATTGTCATGGACCGCAAAAAACACCCAGCAAAAGTACTGTTCAAAGCACACGGCACGAACAGTTAATCTCTTTTTGCAGATGATAGCCCATATATACCTCGAACGAAAAGCTCGCACTGCTGTCGTGGTTGACACGCCCGGCATGGGTATTAATGCGTGCTCTGTCATAACAAACAATATAGAGGAGGCTGAGGAGGTAACCATAGCCATGGCTATCACCTCCAACAAACACTCATTCATACTGAGTGATTCGCAAGTAGCATTCAGAAGTTCTACGCAAGGAGGGATTTCACAGCAAGCCCTCATAATCCTCGTTAATAACCAGGAACTACACAAAGCACATGAACGCAAATACCTCGTATGGTTCCCGACGCACACAGAGACTGGTATACATTCAATCTGAACGAGCTGTCTCATGAGTTGTCGCGAGAATTAACCCGCCGCGCAACCCGACCACACCACTCGGTGATCATCCTTGGCGCCGCCGACGTACCACACAAAGACCGATTTACAAGCTACACAGAATACATGCAACACTACAGATAAGCAAGGCGCGTCTTTCCCGCACCTCACCCGAGTCTAAACAGACAAGAAGCATCGGAATACCGACAGCTACAGACGAACTGCTACCCGAACCCTGTGTGCCTCCGCGGGATCTACTCACACTTATACCCAGACAATAATATGTAAGCTATGTGTAACAGAGAAGGCTTCTTACAAACATATATTATTGGAATGCCCCAACTTATCAACAAGTTCTCCTGAGGTCCTCCTGGAGCAGTGGTGGCTTGTGCTGCTCAGCTCGGAGGTTTAAGACCAAAAATGGGCTATCGAGCAGGCCAGGAGGCTGTACAGAGACAAGGTCTCCCGGTACCTCCTTGTGTGGTCTATCCCGGACCACGAACATGCCGGATACGAAAATAAAATTTATTAATCATCATCATCGTGTAGTCCGCACTTATAGCGATAGCTTATTCCATGTAGAATCTAAAAGTACAATTATATTCCTGCTTGAGAAGCCGTTCAAGCAATCACTGATAGCTACTTATGCACATCTGGTCTCTGCTTATTTTATACATCATCATCATCATCCATCATCCATCAGCCTGACTACGCCCACTAGAGGACAAAGGCCTCTCCCTTATTCAGAATGTAAACTTGGTCCTGCGCTTGCTGCTGCCACTTTATAGCCGCAAACTTGCAAATCTCATCTGCCCACCAAATTTTTCTTTCTCCCTCACCCGCTTGCCTTCTCTGGGAATCCAGTCTGATCTTTCATGACCAGCGGTTATCTTGACTTCGCGCTACGTGCCCGGCCACTGTTCGATTATTCTTCTTGATTTTAACTATAATGCCGAGATGGCGTAGTGGTAAGGGTATCAGCCTCGCGTGAAAGAGGTCCGTGGTTCGAATCCCGGGGCTGCGCAATTGCCTATTGTTTTCTAAAAGGTATCCGCGTGATGATAGAATTGCATTAAGAGGCCGGGGGTGCGCACTCACCAGAGAAGGATTGGCAACTCTGGTGCAGTATCTGGCCACAACCTGTCACATGGATACGCCAAATATTGGGTACATATTAGTGCAACACTTGCATTTCTACTGAAGCAGGGTTTGTTCTCGTAGGCCGTGCAGCTAAATTGGTCTCTGATTTTCTAGCACAAGGGTTCTCAGTGTCGTAGGCAGAAAGTACTTCAGGGGGGGGGGGCACAAATTTAACACAATTTATGTCATGATGAAAAAAAAAACATTCAGCGGGAGGTACGGGCAAGGGCTCGGTGTGCAAGGTTCTAGCTACGCCACTGGTTCTCAAGCATGTTGATCTCAAGCAATTCTATTAGTGCCAAGAAATCCCCTTCCTACCTCCAGCCTAACGCTTTCATGGGAGCATATGCCATTCAGTGCACTCTACATTCACGTTCAACAAGTCAAGAAGCAAGGGCATATAAACGTAAATAAATTAGATGGCATGCAAGTGCACTCATTTTATTTGCACCAACAGATCGATGCGTGGCTGAGTAATATTCAGGAAGAGCCGCATGTGAGCTGCGAAATTCAGCCGTTAATTGTGCATATTTTGTGTATATATAGAATAGTGTCGAGAATGCCAGCTCACAAGCAAATGTTGTTAAAAATTGGTACAGCATATTCACTGCCTATCTTAGAATAGGAGAAATGCGCATGGAGACCCCGAGATCATAGTGTAGTAGTTCAACCACGCAGCCCGTTTTCGGGGTCGGGCTATAGCTAAAAGCTCCTGTCGGGATTTCTTGCTCACTGCTATCTTGTTTCTGTTTGGCACTTGAAATTTCTTATTGACAGTCGGGCGTGAGTAGTTGACATTACTTTAAATTGATCACGTGGCAAGAGTTCAGCATCTAAGGGTTTAACCAGAGAATATTCATCAGTGGCGGGCAGAACACCTAGGTTCCACGGAGTCGACTTTGAGAAACAATGTTTTGGCAATTATAATTAAAAGCCAAAGTTATTCATACCATACACTGATACCAGTCACTAGTATACAAATTGTCCCAAATGGTAACTTTTACCAGAATATTCTACCTTATAGACAACCAAGAGCTCTAACCATGGTAGAGCACTACTTACTCTAAATCATTCTCTTTTTTATCTAAGCAACATTTTTTTTGCGAAAAAAAAGCGAGCGTTTAGTAGACCTGTGTCATGTATGGGTATACCATGCATAAACAACACATATTTCTATTTTATTCAAAACAGCTACGTGCTATACTGCAAGTGGTCGCTTTGCGAATTGGGTCCCAACTGAATAAGGGTTGCAAAGCTTTCTGCGCTACCTCACGGAATCACCGTGGTGAATGAGATGTAGTTGGAAATGCCAGTTTATTTCACACTTCTATATTTTGCCCTTGAGCATGCAAGAAGAATAAATAATGGTAAACATTGAAAATTTTTAATTAACCTTTTGTAGGTTCATCTACATTTTTCACACGGTGAAAAATGGCTTTGAATAGCACTGAGGGGAATATAAATGTCACACTTTTTTTTTTCAACAAGCCGTTGGCTTGATTTCGATGAAATTTATTTCGTACTTTTCAAAGCCAGTTTACCGGGTGAGAAATGTAGGCGAACCTACAAAAGGTTAATTACTCATATAAGTGCTTTCAAAAAGTGGGAAAGCACAGTGCCACTAGCTCATGAAGGCACCATCTCGCGATTGCAATAACGGGTATTTTGAGACGAAACGGCTGAAGCAAGTGGAACAGAGTATCACTTCTCAAGTTCTGAAGAGAGAAGTTGTGTGCACCTCATTACAGCAGGAGAACACCACGTGCAGTTGAGTCTTTTGCGACCCCTCATAGCGCGTAGGTTTGCTCCTGTAAAGTTTACTTCAGCGCACGCACCAGCCATTGTTTTCGTTCGTTTTGCTGTCTTTGTTTTACTGTCAAAATTTTCGTGTACAGATGTTGTCCCTGAACGTGTGTCTACTTTTTCTAGAGGTATATGATATGAAGAAAAATATTTACGCGCACCAATATCCGCAATGGTCCCGAGGTATGAGAAGGATAATAATTTCGCTGGAGATTGTTTTGGTGCATTTATCTGTAAAGTTATTATGCAAACTAAAAAATAATTATGCGAGAACAGTAGGCAAAGATCACCTTCATGGAAAACATGAAAAAAAGGTAATTATTTAGTATTTTGATTGTTAGGTCATGTCTATGTCAAACAGAAAAAAAAGATCAGTCACTGTCGTAAAAAATCTGCGAAATATAACGCCATTGTGACACAATATCGCTCTTTGGAAGCATGGTAAAACAGTTTGCATCGAGATCGAGAAAACTTGGGTAAAATATTATTGCCATAACATTGCGCTACTTTCAAGGGCCGATGTCGGAAAAAAACTTTTTTCTGCAGACGCAAAAGCAATACGTACGTGTTCCACTATCACACAAGCTGTTAATTACTCATTATATTTATTAAAATTTAGTTACTTAGGTCAAGCAGCTGTTAACCACAGTATACAACGCAGATTAAGCGTAAAAATTGATTACAGATTGATTGAAGAACTTGGAGTAGTGATGTCACATATACTGAGTAAAAATAAACAACGAGAACCTCAAGAATAATCCCATTATTTGCTACAACGGCAAAAAGGGTGGCGTTAACTTAAAAACGGTATTTTCAATTCCAACGCGTGCAACACAGATGCCCAAAATGGAGCGCCATCTTGCTGCGCTTAAGAAAACAAAGATTATATGCCCCAGAATTAGCTGTGCTTGCTAGAACCAACCGCTCAAAATATAGAGTTACAGTGACTTAAGAGACTTGTGCTGTAAGAAGGTTTGCTCACCAGATGTGTGGTTAACAGAGCCAGGTGGTATCAATCTATAAAAAAAAAAAAGAGCGCGAAAACCGAGACGATACGCACAGGAATGTAAGGAGCAGATGAGCACTTGTTCTTGACCATACTTCCCTCTGTGGTTCATGCCAATTTGCGCGTTTCTTCTTTAACGAAATGTTTGCGTTGTCTGTGCGTCTCAATCGCTATTACTCTAATGGCTTCGCTAGGTTGGCGGCAGCAGCTGCAATCGTCGACGTTTTTTGTCACGCCCTCGTTGCTGTTTAACCCTTTCTGTGCTCTGTGCAGGCAAGATGAAGTGTCGAGAGGACTGGGGGGACCTTCTTTACGAACGACTGTTCACGCTGTTTCTGGACGTGCTGCTCCTTGTGCTGCCACTCCTCATCATGGTTACCACGTATGCGCGCATAGCGGCCACTCTGCGTTCAGCCATGCAGCAACAGCAGCAGCAGCAGAGCGAAGAGGCCACAGGCTCACCGAAACACAATGGTGAGTTCGCTTCTTTTAAAACTCGAGTTGACAAGCACGGGCCGCAAGAGGGGCGGGGTGGACAGACTTCTTTATCTTCATGTAATGGGTGCACGTCACCAAGTTTTCCCCCGTTTTAACTCAGATGGACCAGCACGGCTGTTCTCTAGCGTAAATGGTCATGCGGCTTCTGGACGGTGGCATTGAGCCCCCGACGCTGCATTACTAAAATTAGGTCCCATCAAAGTCAGCCTGCTGTGAGAAGCACGCATTCTGATTTTTGCACAGCACACTGTTACGAGCTGCCACTCTTGCGTCACTAGCGCGACGTCGACGGTGGAAATGACCGCAGGTTAGTTCGTTGCCTACGCAAGCAGACGCAGTGAAGAGAACAGAGACGTGTGCGGGGAACAAAACCACAGCTTTAATCTGGTGGTATGTGTGACAAGTAATGTAACACTACACTTAAAATTAACTTACGAACAAACATATAAAACCAATGCATGAACTGACAAGCGTAACACATTTAAAATGCACAGACAAAACGCACACAGTGAAATCAATTAATTAAACAGTATCTAAGGAGGTGAAAGTTCAGTAGTGTAAACAGGTAGAGGCATACCTTAGATGAACGGCAATAATGAGTCTACGACGATTGTATGGAGGAAGTTCTGACATGACTGCGATGCCAGTGGCGTTGCCAAGCTGCATGTGTCTGGGAGCCAGTGCTTAAAGGTGATATCAGGCAGGTTGAGCTAACTTGAGATTGAAGTGCCGATGTCTACGTTGCAGGTGTTAATTGCGCTCCTAAACTAGACGAATGGCTAAGTTTAGGTGGCCAGCCTATACAAAGCCGCACTAAAAAAAAAAATCTACGGAGTGAATGATGACGAGCATATCTAGGGAGTGATTGATGACGAGTGGGGCTAAGCGCTGAATGTTTCATCGCTAAACCGTGAACCATCCGCGAATATCACCCACTACATCATCAAAAACGGGACAAACACTGTATATATTTATACAAGAAATTTTATTATTCGTAAGTGGTAGCTATACGTCGCTTCCGTTCCTTAATTATAATGGCTTTATGGTCGGTGAAGTGGTGAATCAGTGATAGGCCGTAGTGGGACGTTTTCAAGGATGAAGTAGTGGGCAGTTGTCAAAGGTGGAGCTATAGGCGGTCACGTACATACATACAAGGGATGAACAGACTCTTGCCTTTAGAAGCTTCGCCCCTAAAACTTCTAGAAGGAATACTCGTTGATCTACTTCAATATCATGTTGTGCAAGCAACTGTGTTTAAATCCTGTGATTAAGTCTCCCTTTACGTCTCCTTGTTCTCTTTTTGGGGAAAAGGGGATCATCGACATGGGTCCGATCATGCGCGGGTCATTGTAACACAAATAACAACATATCCACGGAGCAAATGATGATGAGTGGGGCGAAGCGTTTGTCCATCCGTCCGTCTGTCTGTCTGTCCGTCTGTCTGTCTGTCTGTCTGTCTGTCTGTCTGTCTGTCTGTCTGTCTGTCTGTCTGTCTGTCTGTCTGTCTGTCTGTCTGTCTGTCTGTCTGTCTGTCTGTCTGTCTGTCTGTCTGTCCGTCCGTCTAGTAAACACTCCAAGTACCACCATCTCGCCTCTTTTCATTATATTTTCATTATATACAAGTACCGCTGTCCAGCGGACATTCTAAGGACTAAACGAGAGGTGGCTACTTCTAGATACTATAAACATGGGACGCACAGCCGACGGCGTAAGGAGTTTTGTCCTTAAACCTCAGCTTTTATATTTATTGACCACACCCCTTTGTCATTTGGTAACGGTTCCCGAGTGCGACAACCCGTTGACGCGATAACGTACAGCTTGCCTGCGTGTTAACTATCATGCCCAAGTGGTCTGTTGCCTCGGCGGTTTTCAAGAAACCCGCTGTCGCCAACGGTACAAATAGAAAGAGAAGGTAAGAGAAAACTTGAAGCAAAAATTATTACGAAAACCCCGACGTTTCGAAGCCGTTCTGGTTTTTTCCTAATTATTTTTTGTTGTAGTTTCAACGAAACGTCACGTTTTTCCTAATATAATTTTGGTTGGAGTTTTCTCATTCCTTCAGCTTCTATCCCGACCAGGCAAACTACTGGCAAATGTTCACAATCAAATGAAAAGGGTCAAACGTCACTGATGAACGTTTGAAGACAGAAGCCCCCGTCAGCTTCTCCTAGCTCTAAGTAACTCTTTTCATGTTCGGACACCCTCGCGGGCCGTAGGGGGAGCGCGGTTCCTGTTAATCGGCCTGACGCCGTGTTGATAAATTCCAACTTCAAACACTATTTTGCTTGCGCCAACACAAAGTTGCGCTGATAATCCTCTTATTAGGATGTAGCGTAATCACCGGTTATTTTTCCCTCTTTCTTCCTTGCGCAGGCTCCCCGTTAGCAGCCGTACATCCGGCTGAGCGCGAGGCGAGCCCGTCGCTGCGAATGCGTCGGGTCGCCACCGTGCGATGGCACCAGCGGGACTCCGACCGGTCGCTGGCCACCAAGCAGCGCATTATACGCATGCTGTTCGTAGTGGTGGTCGAGTTCTTCGTTTGCTGGACACCACTGTACGTGCTCAACACGGTCTCGCTGTTCCGACCGGAAGCTGTGTACTACGGCCTCGGCTATCGGGGCATCTGCTTCCTGCAGCTTCTGGCGTACGCCTCGTCTTGCTGCAATCCCATCACGTACTGCTTCATGAACAGAACATTCAGAGTCAGTTTCCTCTCGCTGTGCCACCGAAGAAAGCCCAAGCAAGGCCCAGGTAGTGTGCGAAGCCTGACTAAAAAAGACGGTGTTTACTTCCTTGATCGGGAAAAGAATTAGCTGCTCATATTATTGGTATTTTTTTTCTTGAAAAAATGACAGTGACTCTATTAGGGCAAGTAACATCGTTGTAATTGTAACGGTGATGAACAGCGGTAACAGGTGTGGGGCTTAAAAAACTGGGCGCTTCACACAGATAACTGAAGTTTGCGGCGACTGCTTTCGGTATTTCTTTGCGCAATGAAGGGCAGCGCTATCCGAGCGATTGCAAAATTTAATAACTTCTCGCCTGGCCTATGCCATTACCCCCTTCACTTGACCTGAATGAAACGGGAAAACCACCACTGTACAAATAAATAACTGACATGTTCGGTGTCATCAGTATTGTATTACACTACAGCAAGCTATGCGAAATACCAGAATTGGCTTCGTCCGCATCTCACAGCGTCTGCTTTCGTGCTTTAATTTAGTCACTCGTGACTCATGAGTCGAAGCACTTTGAGATGGTTGCTGATCTGAATCTGTAAGCGTAGTGATCGAGTGAGTGAGTGAGTGAGTGAATGAGTGAGTTAAGAAATCACCGCCATCTCTTTAGGACGCGTGGTCTCCCAATAGTACTCCTGATCATGTTCCCGCGGAGCAGCCGCGTGATAAAAAGCTGGTGTTCATTCCATACTTGTACAGCATTGCACACAATAATAAAAATATTGGTGCGAAAGCCGGCGTATACGTGGTCGTGTCTGCCCCTGAAGAATTGTCTAAACTTTGTATCGCCACAAGCCCATTTATACCCAAGAGGAAGACTGCAAAGTAAAACACCGAAACAAATATGTTGACTCCACGAAGGAGGCCGCGTAAAAGTTCCCATTCGCATGTGGACGACCTTACATTGGGCAACGAGATCAGCTTTTAAACCCCCGCCTGCGCGAACAGGGTGAAAAGGGGCAACGACGAAAAGGGGCAACGCTGGTCATTACCACGAGTATGGGTGCAAACCGTAGTATGAAGATTGCACTGCTGCTTTTCATGATGGGGATTAGCGCACGGGAACGAGTGTGGAGGCAGCCCAAATGCAACGGGAGGGCAGTAACTGCGTGAGCATGACATTAATTTTAATTATATACAAGGAAATAGCCTTTTTGGAAGGAGCACTACATCCGGAGGAGAAGTAGTCGATACGCGCTGTCACACTGCGCAACTGTGACATCGGTGTTTTAGTTTTGTGAGACTTACATACAGGTGCATATCTCGTTCCGATAAGAAATTCAGTTGAAAGTTTTCTCCCGTCCGTGCCTGTTTCGTTCGTTTTCTGATAAACTTTGCACAAGAAAAAGTTAGTACTAATGAATTTTCGCAGATAAGAGAAGATGGCGCATCACTCGACAAGATAACAAGCGTGAAAGCTGCAATTTCGGATGTGCTACGTACCATACAATGCCTTTTACACTCAGTGTAGCCGCTCATAACATGCAGTATACGAGCAATGAAATATTTACCGCGATGTCCACACTACGCGAAAATATTCGTCTCATGTATTGCACAATGTCATTCTTGTATCCCACATGTCATATTTTTTAGCGCGAAGAGGAAAAAGAAATACCTGGATAAGAAGAGAAGAACACAGTGCACAGGCACAGCACATCTTTGTATCACCTCTTGGCTCATCAAGTCGTACATGCACGTACCCAGCCATATCCATGAATCAGTGATTTTTATCTCATCCTCCGGTGTGCCACCTGATGTACTACCCCCTGGCTTCGCCAATTGCATGAACTGACAAGCAGAAGAACAGCCTCTCGTGGTCATGGGAGACAAGGAGTGTGACGAATATTCCTAAATGCGAAATATTTGATATTTTTTTAACATCCCAAAACCACCATATATGAATATGAGAGACGCCGTAGTGGAGGGCTCCGGAAATTTTGACCACCTGGGGTTCTTAAACGTGCACCCAAATCTGAGCACACGGGCCTACAACCTTTCCGCCTCCATTGGAAATGCAGCTGCCGCCACTGGGATTCGACCCCGCGACCTGCGGGTCAGCAGCCGAGTACCTTAGCCACTAGACCACCGCGGCGGGGCTAAAGGCGAAAGACAAGTTGTCGGCGCAGACACATGCTTCAAAATGTACTTTGTAATGTATGAATTTGCAACATCGTATCGCATTTCCAATAGAATTTGGATTCCTTTAGACGTGTCTTCGGTCATCGAGTGTCATCTAGTGCTCTTCGAACCCATGCACCCATTTTATTTTATTGTCCAAAGAGGTGCTTCAATTAACGCCTCAAAATAAAAAAAGGAACCTTGCAGTAGGAATTCTTTCCTATTGTGTTTGATTCAATGGGTTGCACTCCGTCTAATCGGAACGCATCCAGGATATCGCGACGTCTCGTGCATGCTGGGTGTCGGGAAGCCTTGCGTGGTGACAACAACAGCGAGCAGCTTTGAGTATTGCTGATAGCGCCTGCTATCTCTTCAGCCCAGCTTGTTACTTGTGGTGTGCCTGGGGACCCTTTCGGAGTGCATAAACCTCGTCTCTTGGCCAAACACGCACCATGGGCGCAACCCTGACTGTCACGCAACTCTTCGAGGTATCGTGTTGTTTTTGTATTCTCTATAGCGTTACTGAATTAAAAAAAAAACGAAAAAAGAAACAAGGTAACGACAACCCTCAATATCTTATTTAATTTCGCTTTGTGAAGCAGTATCTGGTACAGTGGAAATATCTGTGGATTATCGCAATACCGGTGATTTTACTGAATATCCTCTTAAGACATCTTCCGACAATAATAAACGTTGTCACGAACACTGAACGCGTAGAAGTTAGAACGTTTTATAGATTTGCTTTGTTTGATAGTGATGCTTAGTGGTAGGGCAGAGTTATTCCATCACATAAGTTGCGAAACTCTCTATAGGCTCTATGTATTAAAGTGTGCAGATTGTCGCGCCACCTGTTGATCAGCACACCGGCATTTAAACGGATTTTGTTTTGCGTTGCTGCTTCTAGATGGTGTGACAGTCTGCGAACTCCACCCGTAGTGAAGGGTGGGCCACAAAATCATCCTCATCATCATCATCATCCCCATCATCATCATCACGCAAAATCGGGTCATTTGCATGTACGGGTTTTGGAACGCAGTTTCGCAACTGGTATGATTGAATAATTCTGGTGTGAAGGCACATGCGGCCGTAACGCAGGAGTGGATTGTACTTTATGTACCCTTGAATCAAGAATTGTCATTATCTAAAAATCATATGACAGATATGATATGTGCAAAACACGAAAGAAATGTTTTATCTATGAAAACGTTAGTCTCAAGGGGTGGGATATTGTGCTTTTTTTTCTTGTACTGCTGTCCCTTTGTATTACTATTGTTTTATGCCTATATGTCATAGCGTTCTATAAAAGCAAGCACATCCACTGCATCTTCGAGAAGAAGGCTTTCTATTAATTTTTTTCAAGGTCTCCCACTTCTATCTTGCTGCAGATTACAGCGATCAAGGATCATTTAGCACATTCATTCAACGCTTCCATGTATTTTCTTGCTATCGAACCAGATCCCCTACTCTGTATAATACAATGTGACATGATTTTCAAGAAAGCACGCTCAGGGTAAATAGAAGTTCTTCAGTGATGCTGTGCTGAATGAAGCGTGAATACATTGAAGGTTAAAGATATCTTAACAAAGTAAACACAATGCCCAATGACTAAACGGAAGCTCATCTATTATTCATAGCAGCTACTCACATCAAAAAGAGTCCAAGATGTCCGTAGCTCCTCTTGAATATATAATGACAGTAAAAAGAAAATCAGTTTGAATGCACCATGGAAACAAATCGTAATGACAATTCAAATTTTCATGGTGGTTAAAGCAGTATCTATATACTGGTAGTGCAAGCGCCCTCACGCGGCTCGTCTTGAATCCTGACCATTTGAACAAGAACAGTCTTTTCCCAGTGCTACGGCTTGGCCCTCGCCACTGCTTCTGTCCTCTGGGAGATGTAATTTTGCCATTCTGCTCAAACAAGTTACCAAACTGGAAGACAGAAAAGGAGTGCAAATTCAATGGGACACTGAAGAAAAACTGAAACTTTAAAATTCGATTCGTAAGTTGCCGCTATTTCGATACACAGAGTTAATTTCCCGTATTTCTTAACAGTTGGTTGTATCTTTAGTGGGTTTTTCTGCGCGCGGTTGTTGTTCCCGAGGGTGAGCTCGGGAACAGCCACCGCGCGCTGACGTCACACCAAAAAAGGATGGCGCAATCGCCGAGGCACATGCAGGATGCACGTGTTCTTGTCCTCCCCTTCCTTTTATCCACCCCTCCCTTCATTCCACACTTTCCCATCCACAAAAGCGCTGGTGCTTTGCCTCAGCCCGAAGCATTGTGTGCTGCTGTTATCTTTCATACCGATTCTGGGAACCGAAGTGGGAGATGACCGAGTTGAGAGGCGCAGGCGGCCGCTGGCATTGTTCTCTTGCACGTTTTGTGCGCGTGTGACGTCACCAAACGTTTCCTTCTCCAGTTCACGGTGCTCCCTCGAGACGCGGCGGTTTGTGAAAAACGCATTAAAACCATTATCGTACTTCCTGCCTGGAATAAAGGCTGTCTCTATGATTTGAGGGCACAATCTTTCAATTTGGTTCAAAATCTTGGCGGCGAAAATTTTGTTTAGTATCCCTTTATTAGTTTTGTTTTTGCTAGACACAATATTAACGAGAACCAACAGACAATTATGTTAAAGTGTAGGGGACGTTACTTGTAGATTGTGATATAAAAGCGATAAAAGAAAAGCGGAGGAAAAGATAGGTTGCTGCTGGCAGGAAACAAACCTGCAACCTTCGAATTAAGTGTCCGATAACGCGACCAGCCCATTCATTGCGGTGGTCATTCCCTCATCCACATTGTGGTGCTTAACTTAACCTGGGAGTCAGTGGCGCTAACAGCCATGATGGCCAGCGTGAAACATTCATTTTCTGCCTGTTGGCGTCACGTAGTACCGGATCTGATTAAAAACTCGCAGCTGGCCTATAATCCCTCGCACACTACCTGAAGGCA